GAGCGCGGTGCGGCCAGTCTCAAAAAAGGACAAAAAAAAAAAAATCTGGTATATCCATATAATGGAATATATTCAGCTACGTCATGGATGCACCTTGAAAACATTATGCTAAGTGAAGGAATCCAGCCACAAAAGGCCACATACTATGTAATTTCATCTATGTGAAATGTTCAGAATAGGCAAATATAGACGGACAGAAAGTAGATGAGTATTTGTCAGGGGCTGGGGGAGGAGGGAATGCACAGTGACTGCTAACGGGTACAAGGTTTCTTTGGGGTGATGAAAATGTTCTGGGATTAGATAATGTTGATGGTGGCACAACTTTGTGAATATACTAAAAACCACTGAATTGCATACTTTAAAAAAAAGATCATCCCAGGGCTGACAGTGTCCCGAACCCACTTGCAGGACAGCCCTGCATCCATTCACTGACTCCTGCTCTGTGCTAGGCCTCAAGAATGCAGGCTGTGTGTGCAGATTGTGTGAGTGTGTCGTACACAAGTACCACGGGAGCGGCCCACACCCCGGGCAGTGTGGACTCATCAGTGGGGGCTTTCTGGAGGACGAATATGAGCAGGCAGCAGGCAACAGGCAGCGGGCAGCGGCTCCTACTGTCAGCACACCCTGTTCCGCCCGTGGCCCTGGAGGGTGAGGACAGGGCTTCACCTCCAGCTACAGGGAAAGACATGGGAAAAGAAGTCAAGTCAGTAGCTTGACTTCCCAAAGCTGAAAAGTGCCAGTGCATGCATGTGGCCTCGCCCTCTTTCCACCACCTCATGGTGCCCAGAAAGGACTCACGTGCTTGTCTTTTCCATGCTTGTCTTTTCCCTCTTGAGGGATGGCGAGTAAGCAGTGACCTCTGGAATTGTTGGCCCTTCACATATTAGCTTAATTAGCTCATTCCGTGGTGACAACTTTCTGTCTACGCTTTTGAACATTTTCGGCAAATCAGCATTTGTGAGCAGGATTTGGTTATGAATTTTAATGACTTTCATTCATTCACAGTCCAAACAAATTACATATCTGGTGCTTTACTGAATATGTTTATTGCATTTTATCATCGTCACTGGCAATGAAACGGCACAAAACATTAATGTAAAGAGGCAAACGCGGGGGTTGTCTCTGAGTGGCACGCATGGCATATTTTTCCAAGGCTGCCTGGGGTTACTCATCACTCCCTGAAGAGGTAATAAGCTGGTTCTTACAGTTACATCAGATCCTGGAATTAGGGATGGGCCATGGCCAGGTGACGGTTAAAGAGTCTTTACATCTGCTGCCGAGCCTGTGCCCACATGCTCTGAGGGGCACCTGCTCGGAATGCAAGATCAAAACAGGAGTCCTTGGTGGCCTTAGCGGAGCCGAGAGCCCCTCACAGGTGACCCACACTTCCCCCATACGTCACTCAGGCTTTAGAAGTCTTTTTTGTTTTTCATTTTAAAAGCTTTGTTAGTTAATAAGATGACAGACTGGCTCTGAAAGGCATGGCTGGAATCTCTGGGTGAAGGCCCCTGAGGATGGAAATGCCTCTTGCCGAGGCCCCTGAGGCCCCCGGGACCCCGGGGACCCCTGTCTATCAGCACACAGANCCCAGAAAGGACTCACGTGCTTGTCTTTTCCATGCTTGTCTTTTCCCTCTTGAGGGATGGCAAGTAAGCAGTGACCTCTGGAATTGTTGGCCCTTCACATATTAGCTTAATTAGCTCATTCCGTGGTGACAACTTTCTGTCTACGCTTTTGAACATTTTCGGCAAATCAGCATTTGTGAGCAGGATTTGGTTATGAATTTTAATGACTTTCATTCATTCACAGTCCAAACAAATTACATATCTGGTGCTTTACTGAATATGTTTATTGCATTTTATCATCGTCACTGGCAACGAAACGGCACAAAACATTAATGTAAAGAGGCAAACGCGGGGGTTGTCTCTGAGTGGCACGCATGGCATGTTTTTCCAAGGCTGCCTGGGGTTACTCATCACTCCCTGAAGAGGTAATAAGCTGGTTCTTACAGTTACATCAGATCCTGGAATTAGGGATGGGCCATGGCCAGGTGACGGTTAAAGAGTCTTTACATCTGCTGCCGAGCCTATGCCCACATGCTCTGAGGGGCACCTGCTCGGAATGCAAGACCAAAACAGGAGTCCTTGGTGGCCGTAGCAGAGCCGAGAGCCCCTCACAGGTGACCCACACTTCCCCCATACGTCACTCAGGCTTTAGAAGTCTGTGAGTTATGCTTGTTTGTGGGGGTTTTTTGTTTTTAATTTTAAAAGCTTTGTTAGTTAATAAGATGACAGACTGGCTCTGAAAGGCATGGCTGGAATCTCCGAGTGAAGGCCCCTGAGGATGGAAATGTCTCTTGCCGAGGCCCCTGAGGCCCCCGGGACCCCGGGGACCCCTGTCTATCAGCACACAGAGCAGGGTAGCATCTGCCCAGCAGAGCCAGTGACGGGCTGGAGGCACAGAAGCCTCAGAAATGTGGGGAAAACACACGGGGCAGCTTGAAAACCCTGGGGCCACTGGCTGGGCCTCCCTGGGCCTGGTCTCCAGGGCCGATGCTCACCAGTGTCCCCCAGAGGGGCCTCAGTCTCTGCCTTCCTGGGCTGACTTCAGGGGTGGTGAAGGTGGGTGAGGAGGTTGTGGCAGCGCTTTCACAATGTTTAAAAAAGACAAAAGAAGTACCATTTGCTGGTAAAATTTGTGTTTCCAGATATATCTGGGGGGACATCACATTTCAACATATACCATATTCTCTTGCTGGTGTGCTCGCAAAGTGCGTACAGAATGCCTCTGTAAGCGAATCTCGCACGTGGGCACCCGGGTCGGGGAGGCGGACGTGAAACCCCACAGGCTGGAGCTGACAGCTCCAGTCACAGACAGCTGCTCACGTTTAAGTCAGTTAACATCAAAGCTAGAAATGGCGTGTCTCAGCTGCATCTGTATTGCACAGTGCAGACCACGTCCGTCCTGGCAGGAGGTTCTACGGGATAGTCCTGGTCTAGGACATGCATGTGGGGAACACCGGTCCTCCAGCTGTGACACACCCAAGACCCCAACATTCCCTCCTCACCTGCATGCCAGGCCTGCCCCTGACCCAACTATCAAGTTCACCGCAAGTGGGAAGTGCTTGCCTCACACCAGAACAAGGTTTAGACACATCTCCCTCCCACACACTGTCCCCAGAATTACTTTCCTGTGGCTGCTGTAACTAATTACCATAAAGTTAGTAGCTGAAAACAACACAGATTTATTGTCTCACGGTTCTGGTTGTGTCAGAGGTCCAAGACGGGCCACGGGACTACGCTGCTCCTGGAGGCTCTGGGGAGAATCCGTGCCAAGCCTTTTCCAGTTTCCAGAGGCAGCTGCCTTCCCTGGCGCCTGGCCCCACATCACTCCGACCTCTGCCTCCATCACATCGGCTTCTGTGACTCTGACCCTCCTGCCTCCCTCTTATAAGGACCCTGGTGATTGTTGGGGCCCAACAGATAATCCAGAACAATTCCCCATCCCAAGACCCTTAACTTAATCACCTCTGCAAAGCTCCCTTTGCCATGTGTGGTCACATGTGCCATGTGTGGTCACCCATTCACAGGTTCTGGGTATTAGGACGTGGACATCTTTAGGGGCCACTATTCTGTCTCCTACATGCCTTTCCTTCCCTCCTTCACCCTAGGACAAGAAAGGAGGGCATGTCCCCAGGGCCATATCTGCTTCCCTTCTGACCCCAGAGCCCATGGGAGAGGCCTAGTGAGGACCCTGAGCCCACGTGTCTCAGGAAGGGCTGGTGACAAGCACACCTCCTCCCTGGTCTGGAAGCCGCTCAGAGCCTCCTTGGTGTTCAAAACCTCCCCAAGTGTTTCAAAATCTAGCACAGGCCTTAACGATCATCAGATTTGTAAGTAAAAATCCAGATCACATATGAGTTTCTAACAAGAAACAACTAACTTAAATGGGAATGAGCAGACTGCTCTCCGGGACTCGCTACCATCTCCAGGAAACGCTGTGTAGACTGGACCTGACTGCCCCACGGTGGCTGTAGGATAAAACACCTCCCTTGTCTTCAGCAGTCCAGGTGCCACCCTGCCTGGCCTAGTCACAGAGCAGGGGATCCAGGAGGGACAAGGAGCTCACCATCAACTGGGGAACAGTCAGAGAAACTCTCCACGGAAGCCTGCTCGGATCAGGGCTGCAGCGAGGGCCCTGCACATAGTCTAGAGCATCGGAGGGCTTCCTGGAGGAGGAGCTGCTGAGGTGAATGGAAGGTGGATGAAGTGGCTGGTGCAGCAGGGAGGAAGGATGGGTGGCACAGAAGCACGAGTCACTAAAGATGAAAGATCGCATAATCCAAGTCATTCATTCAGAAGATAAGAGGCGGGGGGGGGGGGGGTCCGGGTCACGTGGCTGATAACAGGAATGAGTCAGGAAGGGTAGGTCACACTGCAGCAATGGCAGTCCCCAAGTCTCAGCGGCTGAGCCCAACAGAAGCTTATTTCTCACTATGCCCCGTGTCTGGTGGGAGTCAGCAGGGTGCAGGCTGTGGTCGCTCAGGGACACGGTGGGGTGAGGTGCCCTCTTGACCTGGCTTCCGCACCACCCACACCACCATGAGGCGGACTGCCACGGGCTCAGGAAGCCTCCCCCTGAGTGGACACGCTCACACCTGCTCCTTAGCCACCCCCCAAAGCAAGTCACGTGACCATGCCTCACTTTGAAGGTGGTGAGAAGTGTCCCTGCCGTGAATCTGGAGGGCAGGGAGTCAGAGCTGCCTGGTGAGCAGCAGGAGGAAACCGCAGGTCCCCAGCCTCTGCCCATGGCTCAGTCCCCTACACATGGCGCTCAGACCAGAGCAGCGAGTGCTCAGCCCCAGTGATGAGCTCATGGTTCCTTTACCTGCAGGGGGACACTCAGCTGCTGGAGGCAAAGGTCTGGGAAAATTGCCCTGGACACAGAAGCATCCACAGCTCAAGCCACAGCTGAGCAGGCCATGTTCTGGGCTCACTTACTATTGCAGACTGACACCAAATTGCTGGGTGGGCAGAGGGGGCCGTGGTGGCGGCGTCTTAGAGGCAGAAAGCGGCTGGCCCTGGTGCAGGTTCTGGAGTTTCTCATCGTACCTGCGGACACAACAGAAGCACAGCTCTCACCGGTAGGGCACACCCTCAGGCCACAGAGGCCACTTGCAGGTGCCCACAAATGTCTGTGGGGTACCTGAGTGTCTCATCCTTCTGGGCCCACCCACATGTCCCCACTGTCTCTCTCTCTCTCTCACACACACACACACACACACACTCTCTCTCTCTCTCTCTCTCTCACAATGCCCCAGTGCTGGGGGAGGGGGGTTCATACAAAAGGTAGGAAGCGTAGTCCAATTCCCGTCAAACATTCAGTTTCTCCTGCCAACCCCTGGCCAAGGTGGCCCCACCCTGCCCAGCACAGGGCTCCCTGCCTGCTTGCCATGCAGTCAG